CAGGCCGTTATAAAGAAAAAAACCCCCAAAAAAAAAAAAAAACAAAAAAAAAAAAACAAGGAAGCAAAAGTGTTACAAACATCGTTGCTTTTGTGATTATTATCCTGCCATTGGTTCACTCCTGAGTGGCCCACACAGGTCAGATCATTAGCTGGGTTGCTGTGCCTTTTGCTTGACATAAAAGAGCCAAGCCAAGTTGAAAAGCAGGCTGCCTAGTCTGATTGCAGCAGCAGCACTCTGCCCCCGGGATCTGTTTGAGTAATGGTGAGTAAAATAGAAAAATCAGTTTGGTATTTTAGATTCATCCTAGGTAGTAATTGCCCAATGAGTTTTTATTGTTTCGTTTTGTTTTGTTTTTAATGGAGAAGCAACAACTTAAAAGAAGTGCTTCCTTCTATAGCATTGAGGAGGTTTGGGGTAGGAGCCATGTAGTGACACATTCTAGGAGGGACTTGCAGCTGGGCCATGAACCTGTGCTGGGGACCAGCCGGGCTGTCCTGGGCCCTGATTTGTACTCACCAGTTCACCTACATTCAAACTCCCCCTGACACTGAGCTAAAAGATGAATGAATGAATGAATGAATGAATGAATGAATGGAGTAAGAACCTACCCAGGAAGGATTGCAGACTAGGGCCCTCTCATGAGGAGGCAGCCCTGTGGACACTGCAGTGCTACTGTGTAGAGTGACAGTTGACCACTCTCCACACTCTTACTATTTGGTGGGATGAGCCCATTTCTCCTGCCAGAAGAGAAAGAAAGGTCTCATGGGAGATCCTACTCCCTGTGTTTTGATATTATAGAAGGGATGTCGTTGGGCAGGATTGCTCATTACGAGGAAAACTCTCTTTAGGCCTCCACAGAAAGCCCTGCCCTTTGCTCATTAGCGCCCTTTGTGATGAGTCCCGGCCAGGGTAGGGTGGAGAGGGGTCAGCCTAGCTGCATCTGCTGTGGGAGCTGGGGAAGGGGTGTGGTGTCTTCTGGGACATCTTCATTCCTTCAGCCTGCACAGGGCTGGCATGTGCTAGAAGGCCGAGACCTGTGGTCTAAGTGGGGAGCCAGTCTAAACAGAGAGAGCAAGATGGTGGACTGGAGACCATGACAACTCATACGAGGAATGTGCCACCAATTCTGAGGACACGAAGGCCAAATGGGGTCCAGAAGTGAACCAGGATGAGAGGGAGCTGGCAGAGAAGAAGCTGGGATGTGAGGTGCTGGAGGGAGGCAGCAGAACCCCAGGCTGGGCAGACCAGACCAACTGCAGCACCGTGTGAAGGAGGGTGCACTTTGTCTTGGAGGTCATGGGGCTTTAGGTTGGAGGTGACGGGGTCAGGTTTGCTGCCCAGCTGCAGCCTGCGGGCAAATGAGTAGAAGGTCCACCAGGCCTGGAAAGAGCCAGCAGAGTGGCTTGGGTGCAAGCAGAGAGAGCATAGGTTTCAGGGACAGACACAGGAGGCAGAGTCAACGGGACTTGGTAATCTGTGTATATGGGGCTGGTGGGAGGGCCCCAAGACAGAGAAGTCAAGGATGCTGCATATAAAGGTTTCTGGCTTGAGCTTTTTTAAAATCAATTTTTAATTTAATTAATTAATTAATTTTTGCTAGAAGGCATGTGTGCTTACCAGAGAGAGACAGAGAGAAACGAAGAGAGAGGGAGGAGAAGGCACCTCCCCATGGGGAGTGGTCATGGCAATCCTTTGTCTTCCATCTCTCTCTTTTTTTGGAGAGTCTCAAGCCACACAGTCCAGGACTTGAGCCTTGTGGTCAGCCACGTGGGATCCTGCTGCCTTAGCCATCAGGCCATAGAGCCAGAGCTCTGACTTGAGCTTTATGAGAACAACCCTTTTCTCTTTTCTTTTTTTTTTTTTTTTTTTTTTTTTTTTTTTTTTTTTTTTTCTTTGCTAGAGGCAGGAGGAGAAGAAGCCAGAGAGAGAAAGGGAAAAAGCACTCCCCCCAATGGGGCTCAGTCCCATAGTCCCATCAGTATCCCAGGCACATGTGCACCTAATGTGTTTCCCAAGCCATCAGAGCTGGGACTTGAGCCCTCCCTGGCCATGTGGAATCCAGCTTCCTGTGTGCAACATTCAGCTACAAGGCTGGCCTGATCTTTTTTGGAATTTATTAATTGTGGTCCCTGAAGTGAGGAGCTAGATAACCCCTGCAAGACACCCCTTTCTGGTAATTGCATCTGTAGGATCAGGTACTAAATGCCTTCATTCAAAGCACAGCAGTTCATCCATCAGTGTTTTTGTGGTTTATTCTGGACAAGGCACCAGGAGAGGGAGAGCCAGGTATGTGTATGGGGGGAGGGTGAATGGACGACCTTCCCTCATGGTGATAAGCAGGGGCTTCCCTTTGACACCCTCTTTGTTGAGCCTTGGGACAAGATAGTTGTCATCTGTGGTGGCTCATGATAGAAGTGTCCTGTCATCACTTGCAGGACCAGGTGGACACACTGACCTTCCAGAGTCAGTCTCTACGGGACAGAGCCCGACGCTTCGAGGAGGCCTTGAGAAAAAACACGGAAGAACAGCTGGAGGTAGACCGTGCTCTTCCACCCTCCAGTTTCTGCAGGGCCCTCATCCTGGTGGCCTAGTGGCCACCTCAGTGGTCCCCAGAGACAAGGCCTGCCTGTTGATCTGCTGCCCAAGTGACAGCTGGCCATGACCTCCCCAGGACTTGTAAACAATTACTGTCAGCACTTGCCCAAGACAGACCACAGCTGTGGGTTTCTCTATCTGTGTGCTATTTTTACCAGATTCCCCAGCACCCCCAGCCAGTGTCCCTGGGCTCCTCTGATAAGCACAATCTGGACACTCCCAGAGGGCCAGGACCACGTCTCCATCCCCTCTCTCCCAGCTTTACCTGGGCAGGGGACAGCACTGAGTGCAGCACAAGTTAGTGGGGTAAGGGGGGGTTTTCCAGAAAAGCTAGCAAACTCCTGGGGAGGACTCAGGCGGGACTGCCAGCTACAATACAGAGCCTCCTCCTTTTCATCTGGATGACACGTACATGAATTTTTGAGTATAAGTACAAGGGGACTTCTATGGGGGGGAGATGAAATTCAGTTACGAGTTTATTTTTATGCAAAAAAAAAACCTTGAAATCTATGCATAGGTTGTTCGCAAAATCTATTTTCTATGAACTTTCCAAAAGCCCTGTGTATGTCCCATACAGTATTGATACTACATTTTTTGATGGTTGTTTATCTGAAATTCAAATTTAGTGGGATATTCTGTATTTTTCATTGTTAACTGGCAACCTTTTAACATGTCTTTTTCTGAAATGGATATTCTGCTTTTAAGCCACTTCGTTTATTTTCTATGCAGTGGGGCCAGGAGCTGAGGGAGGAGGGAGCAGTGATGTGCCACTCCATGGGCACAGGTGGGATCTGTAGGATCCCCATCCACCTGCTGGAACTGGTAGTCTGGGTGAATGTTAAGGGCCAGGGTTGGATTTGCTCTTTTGCCCCACGACTTCCCTTCTTGGGATGGATCGTGCCAGCAGTCTCAGAGTCAGACTTCCTGGTGGACAGCCCTGTCTCACCTGCTTCCCTCAGCAGGAGGGAGGGCTCCCAGTGGGGAGCAGGTGCTTCTTTATTAAGCAAGGTTGTGAGCATTCTCTGTGTCCCTGCTGCTGCTGTGGCCCACGGGGAGCTTGGTACAGAAACAAGATTCGCCTGGCACGTGGCACTGGTTGCTTCTGGTAGACAGCTCGTTGCCCTCTGCCCCTGTAGGTTGCTTTGGCCCCTTATCAGCACTTGGAAGAAGACATGAAGAGCCTGAAACAGGTACTCGAGATGAAGAATCAGCAGATACACCAGCAGGAAAAGAAGATTATAGAGCTGGAAAAGCTGGTGAGTTGGTCTGTTTACTTGAGAGAGGAACCTCTGAGACATTCCTACAGTCACCACCGATGTCGTCATGATAGCACTCAGCCAGGCGTGCCCCTTTTCCCAGTGCTACACCTGAGCAGAACATTCCATAGCCAAGCCCCAAGGCCCTTCTAGAAAGCTAGGAGTTCTGACAAGGATTCTCAGAATTGGCCTCATTTTGTACAACTCAGGAGCCCTGATCAGGCAGCCTCTGGGCTCTGCTCTGATTTTCCTAGAAGCACTGTTTTCTCACCCCTCCCTGGGGACATGTGTGAGAAATCAGCATGTCACGGCATCACTGACGTGCCAGGCACTACACAAAGCCTTTTAACTCTGCAGCATCGCATGGAGTAGGTACCCGTGAGCCATTCACAGATGTGGAGGTGGCGGCCCCAGGACAAGGTCAGTCTTACCCACAGCTGGTAAATCCCAAGGCCGGGGAGAAGGCAGGGCATCCCAAGCCCCCTACATCCTTGCATGATAGAAAGAGGGGGGGGGAGTCTCTCTGGGGTCCCTTCTACAAGATCATTTATTTTAGTCCATTTTATTACTAATAACAGAAAATGCTTGAAACCAAGTGATTTATAAAAACAGAAATCTATTCAGCTCACTGTTTGGGCTTTCTCCACTGAATGTTTTGTGGCCTTTGTCAAAAAAACAGTTGGCTGTATGTTGTTGGATTTATTTTTAGATTTGCTATCCTGTCCTATCGATCTATTTTTGTGCCTACATCACGCTGTTTTGATTAGGATGGTTTTATAATATATTTTGAAATCAGATAGTGAGATGTCTCCAACTGTATTCTTTTTCTTTTCTTTAATTTTCTTTATTATTATTTTTTTAAATTTGACCAGAGAAAGAAAGTGAGAAAGCAAGCCATCAGGTCTGGGACTCAAACCATAGTCAGCTATGTGGGAGTCCAATGCCTTAACCACAACATCACCTGCCCGCACCACTAACTGTATTCTTTCTGCACCGTATTGCTTTGGTGATACATTGTCTTTAAGTTTTCTCTTAATACGTTCACAATACAAACAAGTTCCAACACATGAATTCGGGGTAAACATTCAAACCATAGCAGTCACTAATCCCATTCACAAGGGCTCCACCCTCATGACCTAATCACTTCCCAAAGACCCCACCTTCTAACATCATCACCTTAGAGTTTAGGTATCAGACATCCAGTCCACAGCAGAGGCCTGGCTCTCACCTACACTCCTTGACTCCAGTGCTCTAGCTTGGCTCCTGCCAAATTAGCAAAGGGTGCTCCTGACAGGGACAGAGCACCAGGGTTTTACCACCCACCCTTAGGCACAAACACAGGCAAGAGTTGGAGTCTGGGAAATGCACAGTAAGGAAGCCTGCTTCCAAGAAACCTTGAGTGGAAGCTGGCCCATGGTCTCAGACAGATTCTTATTTTTTTCTCGTATTGTTACCTTTAAAATAAACTTTTATGGGGATGGTAGGTGGTGTGGTGGTTAAGGGCACTAGACTCCTACATGGCCAATCACGGTTCGAATCCCGAACATGGAGACGTGCTTTCTCACTTTCCCTCTATCTCTCGCTCTGGTCAAATTAAAATAAATGAATAAATAAAGTTAAATAACACAATTCTTTACAAATATAAACTTTTTTAACTATAAGAGAAAGATGTGTGTATTTTAGGAAATTATAAGATAAACACAAATAAGCACATTTTAAAACATCACATTCCTATCACTGTTAGTACTTTTTCCAGCGTTTTCTCTGTCTGCGTGTCTGCATGTTCACATATATACACAAATACACTTTAGTGTAGTGTACTTTACAAGTGCTTCGTATCTTGCTTGCTTGCTTTCTTTTCACTTGCTATCTCAGAAAATGATCATCTCATCTGATTTTTTTATAGAGAGATTTTTGCTATAGGATGCGTGCACTCGCCAGAGAGACAGAAAGTGAGAAATCACCCCCAGGGAGGATGGCCACACCACAATCCCTTCTCCTCCATTCTCCTCTCAGGATTTTGAACATGCACACACATGTGCCTGGCCTGAGTTTTAAGCCGCCAAATCCAGGACTCAAATCGCGATTGACTATGAGGGAGTCCAGCAATATAAACCATTACACCACCTACTTTTCCCATCTTATCTGGTTTTTAAAGTTCTCTATTTGTCAGGGAAGGAGGTTGCTGTACTCCCACATGGTCAACCCCCATTCAAGTCCCAGACCCCGAAGCTTGAAACCCATGCCAACTGCATAGGCATGCAACCTAAAATCCCAAGAGGACGATGGAGGAAAAAGGATTGTGACATGGCCACCTCCCCTGGGAAGGATTTCTCACTTTCGGTCTCTCTGTCTCTGCCTCTCCAGCAAGCACATGCACACTATAGCAAAAATCTCTTAAAAACAACAAAAAAACAGGTTCCCCATTTGTAACTAAAATGCCCCCCGCGGGTGATGTATCCAAACAAGGTGCAGATCCGGGATCAGCCAGGGCATTCGGCAGCACCACTCACCTCCTTATTTAGCACCTGTCCGTTTCAGACATCATTCTGTCTACTGGTAGGCATGGGCAGCCTGGGGCATGTCTGTTACCAGGCACCTTGAGTGAGGTTGGCCACTGGACACCAATAGGGCTCACTGACATAGCCCGCCTCTCCTGACCCTGCGATGGAGACTGGCCACCATGGAGACCAGCCACTCTGAGCACAGCCCACCATCTTCCTCCTCCTGCAGGGCCGTCTGCATCATGTGCCCCGCAGGAGGAGGATTTACTTGGCTGTTTCCACACTTGCGGCAGGCATGCATGATTTTTATCCCAGAAATCTTTCCAGACAACACACACACACACACACACGCACACACACGCACACTATTTGATCACCTCCTGCATCCTGGGGGCAAAACTGAAGGCTGGGTTAGATGCCGTGGTGAAGACCAGGGGCGGGGGCCAGTCCCGTGGCTGAGAGTCCTAAGCCCTGCTCATGGGCAAGCGGCCATTTTCTGTAAAGGTTAACTGCATTGTCAGTGCACTTGTCACGTTCTGTTCAAAAAGAGCATATTTCCAAGTTCTTACAATGGAGCTGCCCTTTAGCTAGGTCTCAGGCACAAGGGGATTTGCTGACAGTGAGAGTGGCATAAATCGCTGGGGATAACAACCAGATGGTGGTGGAATGTTCTGATAATGTGCCATGCTGGTCTTGGGTTGGGTTCATGGTACTTAGAGTTGAAAAGAAAACGTGTATTTGCTTTCTTTAGATTCCCATCCTCCATCAGTTCAGAGTGTCATACAGCATGTGCACACTTGGCCAGGGACGTGGATACAGTGGGGTCAACCCTTTGGAAGAACCAGGGAACCCATTACTCAGACTAGGTCCTGGTGGTGGTCACAGCTTATCTCTGACGATGCCAAAGGCCTGGGGACACACACTGTAAGAAATACATTTTAAACAGGAAGCCCGTACACACACGCACACACACTACATATAAATTCAAAATACATGGAGAGTGCTTTGACTACGTACAGTGCACTCTGGTATTTTCTATTCTGTTTTGTTTTTAAAAAGAAATGCTGGTCACGTCCCCTGACCTGACTTTACAACCCACAAAAGCATCGCAAACTGCAGTTTGCAAAATGCTGTTCTTGCTCGTCCTCCAAAGCCCAGGAGCCGAGGGCACGGTTTCCTACCAGCCTTGCTATGGCCTCATTGAGAACCTCTGAAACACTGCACCCTTTACAGGCGGAGAGAAACATCATCCTGGAGGAAAAGATCCAAGTTCTCCAGCAGCAGAATGAAGACCTCAAAGCAAGAATCGACCAGAACACAGTTGTCACCAGGTAGGCACCTGAGAAAGCTTGCATCAGCTAGAGTGGCTTTGTTCCTGAGCTGCTTTTTGTCACGGTGTCCAATGTACCTCCGTCTGAGCTATGAGGCTTCCCCGTGGAACAAAGTCTGCCGCTGTGCACACCCAGCATGTGCCTGGTGTGTATCCGTGGGGCCTACCTTGGGAGTAAAGCCTGTGGCGGGGGCCTGCAGTAGCACTGGGCAATGGAGGGATTTCTTTCTGGAGGGGATGAGAAATGAGTGCTCGCTGGGTGTTCCTAGGCAACAGAGAACCACCGCTGATTATCACCCCCAGGCTTCCAGAAATCTGCCATTTCCATTTCAGTCCTGCCTGTCCCTGCAGGACCCTGCTGTCAGGTCCCAGCTTCCAAGGAAAGGTGTGGAGATCCCTCCCTTCTACAGCTCAGAGCGGGGTCAAGGCGGGGTGTGGGCTCCATCAGCCAGCTGGAAGTTATTGTGTCCATGGGGCTGAGCCGGCTCAGTGAGACCTGGACCTGAACTTGAATCTGCTCTACTGACCGGGCTCCTCAGCAAGCACACACTCACGTGCATGCATACGCTCAGCACTAGGCTCGCGGGATACGATCATGATCACCTCTGCATGCACAATGCTCGTTACACGTGCATGCTCCCGCTCATGCATGCCCACACTCATGCACCATACACACCACTCACGCCTTCATATGCACACCTCCTTACATTTTTGCTTTCTCACCCATGCTCACATACTTGCACGTTTACCCACACATGTGCGTACACTCATGCCCAGGCACATGTACACACATGTCCCCACTGAGTCCGTGGAGCAGGGTTTTGTTTTCACCTCCAAGGCACACAGGAGAGACTTGGCTGCAGGCAGCATGTCCTCTCACCTTGCTCCACTGGTCCTGACCCTAGGCCTTGGCCAGGTAGCCGCCCTGCAGATGTAGCCTAGAATGTGGGAGAAAGAACCTGAGCACAGACCTCCCTGGGAACCTGCAAAGGCACCTTCATTGGAAGAGCAAGTGCAGGCTTTACCAGAGAAGTGATTTTCCTGGACTTCTGTCTATCCACCTACACAACTCCTAAGTATTTACTCCTTCCTTGCCTCAAATGTGCTGTCAAGCGTCACGACAGAGAGCACACAAATGCACTGATTCACTTTTATTCAACATCCTTTATCGGCAAGCTTTAACTGAGCATTTATTTTGTGCCGAGTGCCATGCTGGAGTCAACGTGCAAAGTCTTGGCCCCTGTCCTCTAGGGCTCATGGTCCAGCAAATGGGCAGATGCCGGCACCGGCAGCAGGGAGGATGGCTCCCGTCATGAAAGCATGCACCTGGGGCAGGGAGGCCAGGAGAAGGCATTGCCAGCTGCCTGGCAGGGAGAAGGCACACAGCACCTCACTGCCCTGTGCAATTGTCACGGTCAAGTGTCAGCTGCACACAGCTGTCTCTCCCCTGAGCCTCTCAGTGGTACAGCCGCACTATCAGCCACCTCTTTCCCTACTTTGTCAGGTTCTTGGCCC